ATACTAAGAATTTTGGGGATATATATAAACGGATTTGAGAGGTATCTTACTGGAAAACTTGCTATCGAGTGGGTGAAAAGGAGTCTCAATCAACCAACAGAATATAGAAGCCAAACATACAATTCCTATCTGTTTTTCATTTCTATACTCCACGAGCTATTCCTCATGCTTTGTTCTCTGATCACTCTGGTTCCCATTATTAATAAATATATAATAAATATACACCCAAACCATATAATTCATGAACACGATGATTTAGCAAAGAGAAAAAAAAGCCAAAATGGGCATTAACTTATAGCATAGAGAGAGGCATACAACACATCAAAAATGTTCATGGTCCTAATCTTACCCTCAAGTCCTCAACTATGTCCCAAGGCAAGTACACGTATCATCATCTTTGGTGACTCCACCTATGAATTATGGAAATAGGAACAAACCGAGAAAAAAACTCACTCCACTTCTTTGATGATCCTTGCTTTCCGCAGATGTTTCTTGACAATTGTTCCTGGAGCACTGTGAGCTTTTATTCGTTCCTCTTTTCTCCTCTTTGAATCGTTCCTGGTTCGGAGCAATGCTTGTGCTTTGTATATTGGTTTTGGCAAGTGCCTGTGCCTGTATTTCACAATATCGAAAGCGTTGCCATGTTAATTATCGTTATCTTTGGCAATCTCCAAATGTTAGAAACCTGAGAAAAAATAAAAACAGAGATCCTTTGTTCTCTGGTCATGTACCTCACAATACGCTTGACCTCAGGAAGATGCTTGTACCGGTTCTTCACAGCCTCATGGTACTCGTGCTTCTTTTGTTCCCTTGGAAGAATCTGCAACACAAGATACCAATCAACATATGATAATTTAACTGTTCCAGGTTGGAAACTTCTTAAGAAAGCATGTACAAGTATTATCGCATAATCAAATGCACTATTGAATCGCTTAGCCTGTGTTAAATATTTTCCAATTTCCGGATTTCATTTGGTATATATTAACCTAATACCAGTGTAACAAGAGAAGGAACAAATTCTTACAACTCCCAATTGCTCTGATGCTTTGGCCTTCCATAGCCTGAGATTGGTGTCATCACTGCCTGATATTACATACGTAGCATCACAGCTATACTTGACACAGAATACTCTACAAGGAAAATTGAAGCATTAAAATATTGAAGTTGTTTATTCTAATTTAAATTAACATAGTGATACACCAGAACATCTGAATGTCAAGCATATACAGAGTTGTTCACTAGATCATACCTCTGCATCCTCTTTGTATGGTAGATTTCCCTGCTGTGTCCTCCATTGTATGGGAAGATTCTCACAGACCGATCATAAGAACCCGTAACAAATTCACGACCAGTTGGTGAAAAATCAATATCCATCCTGGGAATTGATAAAAGTAGCAAAACCCACAATGCATTAGGATAATATCCTGTTGAAATTTTTAGCGGAAACTTGGGATTCTTCATTCTTACACTGCAGACACATGATCTTTATGCACGCACTTGGCTTCGTCCAACTTTCTACCATCAAAGCTATAGCAACTGCCATCTTCATTAGCCTATTCATTTCACCATAGGATCAAATTAGCATATAAGAACAAGGCAAATGCTGATTTCTGCCAGTTAGCAAAACACATCAGAACAAATTCCCTTTATGATTATCACTTACAGCTGTCAGGTTCATAGGCTCCATGGGGTTCCATGCGATTGAATTTGTTTTTGTCTGCCAAAAGATAAGTAATTTGCAGACCAAGGTTGCAATTTTTAAGTTTGAAGAATAAAAAATGGTTACATATGAAGACAGTGAGTTTCAACTATACCGTCATGACAATTTTCCTTGCTGCAGAAGACATACGAAGATCATAAATGGTTATGCTGCGATCACTGGAATAAGAGAAACCCTAAGAGTGTTAAAGAAAGCTCTGGAAAGTCTAGCTCAGATGATTCCATAACATACACAAGTATAAAGCAGAAAGCATTTACCTAGCGGATGTTGCCAATATATCAGGCTCTCCGGGATTAAACCGGACTGATATTACAGAGTCATTTCCCCACTGGAAACTCTGAACTGGCTGAGACCTAATTATAAAATATAAAACAGCAAGACCGTTTAAATTCAAGTAAGCCATACATCAGAGAATCTTTTAGCCGGAGTCTGAGTACCTATTATGATTCCATATATCCAATTGAGCTCCGGCCGTAGCAAAAAGTTCACCTTCAAACTGATGATCAACAGCCCTAGAAACAAAAGAAAGCAAAACAACTCAAGTTTTGTGGACCAACTCAATCATGAGAAATTGAATGAAGACTGTTAGAAATTTACCAGAATGCATTCTTCCAGACATAGACTGCAGATGGCTGAAAAAATAAACGGAGTAATAAGCTTGAAGTCATATACCAAAGAGAGCAAGCTCCTCATAATACAATGTCATGGAAAAAAGAACTACCTCAACTAAATTTTCAGATGAAAGACTAGAATCTTCAAGTGTAGGACGAGGAACATTCCACAAACGAACACTGCACAAATCCATTCACCTTAGTTTAGAGGGCCTGAAATCTGATCAACGACTGGAAGAAGACTTAAAACAATAAAGTCTTATATCTTACGTGCAATCAGTTCCGCATGAAACCAATACATTGCCATCGGTTGATGCTGTAAGACCACGCACAGCACCTTGATGACCAGGAAATTGGCAAACCGTACGCCTGTTTGTTCCAAGTTACAGAATTCATTTACCAAAAAGCACAAGAACATATCATTTAACACAGGAAAAACTAAATAAAACTTCAAATTAGTTAAGAAAAGACTTAGTTTTCAAGAATTTAACCTTGAAGCAATATCCCAAAGGCGAATATCTGCAGAGAAGAAACATAGTACATTTTCAGTAGGATACAAACACAGCCAGATTACTGGCAAACTTAGAACGACTTTCAAGCAAAATCATAAGGCTTTAAGGCTATGACTAATCCATATTATCAAACCAAATAATCACCATATAGATTTATGGCAATTATGTACAGGCTCCTTTACCATAGATCTTATGATTCCTAAAGTTTCTAATAGAGTTAACACTTTGAAAAAGAGAAAAAAAAAACAAGAGGTAGATACTTTACCTCCATCCATAGAAGCCGAGAAAATCCCTTTCAGGTAGTTTGGGTTCTTCGCCATACACGAGATTCCATCGCGATGCCCATCCATTGCCCCAACAAAGGGCCTTGCAAATATCTAAAGACACAAAAACATAAGCAAATTTGAGAATTTGTTTTCCAAAACCAATCAATACAAACGACACAGTGAATATCAAAATCGAAGGCAGAGAATCGCAATACCTTTTCTAACTTGGCAGCTGTAAGAGCCCTCTGATATTCAACGGCCTTCTCCATTGGTCGAAGACTTGGGTCGAAGTTGTGAAAAACCCTCTGGAATTACCCCAAGTTTCACAAAAATCGATAAGGTTGTGGAGAGAAATCGAGACGGGAGCCAAAACTGAACCCTAATTTTGTGATAATGCGAAGGGATTGGATATGCAAATTACCTGAAGATCTTGACTTCGCTCTCGAGTGAATTCATCGACCGATCTTGATATCACTTTAACCTTCATTGTCTACGACGAAGAATAACGGGAAGAGAGATCCGAGAGAGAGAGATATGGTTGCGGTTGCGGTTGCGGTTGCAGACAGAAAAACCCTAAAGGAAGGAAGGGGGTTTCGGAAGGAGACGAAGCCGTGTCCTGAGATGGGCCGATAAACAATAAATTAGGTCTTTTCTCGTGCTTTGGATTTTCCTTAACTTCAAATATTTGGGTCTAAATGGGCCCTATTTGAATCCATTAAACAAAGAGTGAATAAAATAAAAGAGGATTAAAGAAATAAGCCAAATTTATATGGAAAATTAACAGAATCATGGACGAAAT